TATATATATATATATATATATATATATATATATATATATATGCCGAATGTATGTAGTTCACATGTTCGTTTGTTTTTTTTTTGTTTTTGTTTTTCAATTCTAATTTTTCAGGGTAATTTTTGTACAAAATGTTGTTTGTTTTTGTTTTGTTTGTTTTTTTTGTTTGTTTGTTGTTTGTTTTTTTTTACCATAAATTTAGTGTGGACTAGTAGTTTAAAAACTTAAGCCCAATAGCAACAAAGGAACAAAATGAGTTCATGCGGTAAATTTTTAGATTATTACATTGATTACATATAAAAAAAATAAAATGAGCTGTTGGAAAGCGCGCATTATCCCTCCAAATTATCTCCGATTATTTCAGCCGTGCATGCCATACATTTCAAAAGTGTCGTCTAGACAATCAACAACAAACAGCAATGTATCCTCTCTACTGTTATCACTAAAGTACTACCAGTCAAGGTTCAGGTGTTTCCTCCCCAATATTCCTAATTTAATTAAAAGATAATAATTCTCAAACCGTTTTAGACTGAGAGTCAGTGTTTTGTGCTTTGTTGTTCTTTTCAAACAAAACATCGCGATAGTGTTGGGTTTCTCCTGCTTGTTGAGTTCAGATTCAACCATGAAATTTAAAAGGCCAGACGACAGACCTTAACCCGGATCACGTCAAACGGTGTTGTGGTGTGATTGCTGATGAACGCGGCTGGCTGAACCCAGCGAGTTCAACCATTTTGCCAAGAATTTATGAAAACAAACAGATGCACAGTGCATATATATGCCATAGTATGAATCAGCTATATTAAGAAGTTGTTTTCCGTATGCCGGATGTTAACGCCTGTTTCTTCATGTGATATAAAAACGTAAATGATTCACACTCACAGGCCATTTATTACCGTAATATGCAGTCATATAAATTCACTTTGTATCCTGTGTAGATATTTACTGGACTCCAAAGAGATCACTTAGATTGTTTTGGAAATGCACCTGTGGTTCTGCGTCCATTATGTGTATACTCTGTTTGTGTGCGCGTGCGTGCACGTGCTAGTAACAGTGTGTGCTTACCATTTAATTGATATTCAAACAAAAGTTCCACAATATGTATCTTACCTACTTTGTAATAAAAACATGATCATGTTTAATCCTGTGCACTTGTCTTTCTTTTTCTGTATTTTCTTGCGACCTGCAACAGTAGCATGTCGAATAATAATAATAATAATCTTAAAGATAATTATTGTTTGCTTTTACATTTTAAAAGTCTGGTTCGAATCCAGGAAAAATAATTATGTTGTGCGTGAACAGGAGAGCCAAGATTTCTGGCATATTTCCAAAAGAAGGCTCCATGTAAAATAAAGAGTCGAAATTAGTCAGTTAAGCAGTAGAAGGGAAGCAAAATGGCTCCAATTGAGGATAAAACATCAGCTTTTAGCTGCTCTCGAGCAGTTTTAATTCGGATCAAGGAGAAGATATTGTGCTCTTTATAACATTCCCTCGAAAACATGACACTAAGTCTGTCATGAAAGTTTGCA